ATGTGTAAGGGTAGGAGACTCCTTCAATTAACCGAATTCTATAGCCCACAAAATAAAAGGTATACAAAGAGGCACAGGCTGAAAGAGCTGAAATTCTCATTAAATCAAAAGGTCCAGTATTCATTACCTCATGCATCTGAGGCTAGACACTAAATATGGGGATCATCAAAGTGAGTTTAATGGGTTAAATTGAGGATATAATCTAATTAAAATATTAGACATGGCTAAATAGTTCTTTGATATTCATCTAAAGATTTCATTAAAAATAGGTGCTTGAGGTTTGTATTATGAGAGAATATCAATTTTATGTAGAGGCAACACATTTTATGTAGGGATCCCGACAGCACTGCTTCAAAGTATCACTGCTGTGTGAAACGGAATGGGGAAAGACAGCCCTCCCAGTGACAGGGTGGAGACAGACAAGGCCAGCGACACCAGTCACGGAGGACAGGGATTAGGGCAGTTGTGTCAATGGCAAGAAAAGAAGCAGGAGATTCATTTAGGAGACCCCTTGGTCGCAGAAGAAAGGGCACATGCGAGGTCCAAAGTATGACTAAATTGGCCTTGTTCACTGGCTACCCAATCTGTTCTCTGGACCCCACTCCTGTTACATGACTTTTCAGTTTCTGGCTCTTATCTTCTTGCTGTGAAATTAGCATCATAGGGATAGCAAACAAACAAACAAACAAAAAGTCCAAACCAGTTGTCATTACAGTTGACTCTGCCTGATGTGTTTCAGAGGGGGGCACTGCTCCATAGGGTTTATGACGGCTGTAATCTTTCGAAAGGAAGCGATAGCCAGGCCTTTCTTCCGAAGTGCTTCTTGGTAAATCCAAACCACCAACTTTCCTGTTAGTGCCAAGCACGTGACTGTTTTGCCACCCAGCATCTCCACCATAGGAACATCTACTGCATGAATATCGTTTGTGAAAGCCAGTGATCTAAGGGTCCCAGGGTGCCCCTAGAAACCAGGGTCACGGCTCCATGATCAAGGCTGGTCTCGCTACCAGCTGCCAGTTCAGTAAAGGGTGTTTATAAAAATGTTTGAGAAATTTCAGGGCTCCACTAACTACATTTGCCTGAAATACTCCTATCATTGTAATCCTCTCAACCTGTTACAGTTATTTAATAGCTGAAGACCATTTATTCAGCTTATTGAAAATTAATTGCTTACATTGCCCAGGTTTGCAAGGGGAAAATGAAAAGGCAATGGAGAGGCAGCAAGGGAGATAAACCCTGTCTATGAATTCTTTTGCCTTTTCTTCTTTGTGCCCATGAGCCCCTACATTGAGGGGTAGAAAGGGCTGGACATTTTATTCTTTTTGCATCTCACTGCTTCTTGCAATGTGATGTTTTCATAACGTTTTGGGAAGGTTCCCCCTCACCACCTCATTTCCACTAATTTCAGTGCCCATAGTAAGTAAAAAAAAAAAAAAGAAGAAGAAGAAAAGAAACAACCTGAAGAATGGGAATGCTTCCAATGGGAGAGTAATTTAGAGCGTAAAGCAAACACATACAGGAAAAAGCTCCCATTCAGAACCTTTGGCTTTCCTTTGACCAGATCTTGGCTAAGAAAAATTGGTTTTATGTTTAGTTAAGTTCATTTGTGAGAAAGGTGTGTTGGACTGGTTCATGAAACCAGAGGGAGAAAAACAACTACTGTATTTTGTCTGGAGGCAGTGGGTAAGGGACAATCACAAATATCAGATTTTTAGCTACTTTGAAACTCTACATGCATATATTTTAACGAGTGTAATGAATGTCTAAGAAAAAGTTGTATTAGAACACATAAAAAAACCAAATCCATTGCCATAGTCAATTCCAGCTCGTAGTGATTGATGGGACAGAGAACTGTTTCCTCGACCTTCTGAGGCTGGGCATCTGACAGGGAGCAGCTGGGGAGTTGAACGCACCCACCTTTTTGTTTATAGGCAAGTGCACGACCAGGTCTCCTTTCGAATTCAGAGTCCTCTTTTATTTTTGCCCATGTAGCAGAGGTGTAATATTATTTTGTCTAACAATATAGACAACTCCTTCTAACCAGGGATCTAAGGGGGGTGGGATGGGTAAAAGACAGACACTCTGGATAGAAAAAAGCTCATCATGATGCAAACATTTTCCTTTGTGCTAGTTTTAAATCCTTCCCTCACAGGGAAGGCGACTAAAAAGGCAATTGGGGGTGGGGGTGGGGTGGCAGGGATGGCAATTGGAGTTCTCATGTTTTGTCTGTTTTTATGCAGAGAAGTTATAAAAAAAAACAGTGCACTAGAGGGCAAAATCTTATAGTCATTCTATGAATAATTAATGGCTGTGTGAACTATGTATTATCTAGGACTTATTCTTGCTCTACTAGGAAGAGTCTTAAAAAATGGGCATGTTTAAGAGAAAGCATGATTTCCCCTTAAAATCTTTAAATCTTCCAATACTTCTCATAACATGATAGTATTGCATCTGTTTTGAAGCATTTTAGAAAGAAATTAGCTCAACTTCACCTGGTTTCTGCAGACTATCACCCAAATTCATTTTCTGCTATTTTCAATAAGTAATTAGAAAAGATCTCCCCTGAGTTTATCTGGCCTCCTATTGTAGGCCATTTGCTGTCAACTCAAAGTTCTCAATTAGCTCTAGTGTTGTTATAATTACTGGATGTGTTTTCAAACAACTCCCAGCTAATAACTGTGGGGATGAAGAGTCATTTTCTCACTATAGAGTAGACTGTGCAGGCTCATGCTTGCTGTGCTGTTTTGACAATGATTCATTAACCAATAATAAGGCCCCAATTGGAATCATTAGGCATCAGTGCTTTTGCTAGGCTTACCTTTTCTTTCTTTCCTTGACATTGTCTTTTCTTGGGAGTTTCTGGATAACTCCCAAGAAACTCCTTATGATACAAAACAGCATCATGAAGACAGCTGCTATTAAATTCAGCTACTTGTAGCAAAGCTCCTGCTAAGAGGACATGCATGTTGGAAACTCAGAATAGAAAAAGCATAAAAGGAGGCTGCCAAGAGATAATAGATGGGTTAAAGGCCCTTTATTTGCATGAGCTCATAGATATCAGACATCATGTCTTTCAATGCCACACGCAACATCTGGCCATCACTGCATCAGTGAAGTTGAAGTTCCTTGCTCTACAATAAACCAGAAAAACACATTCACTGCCATGGAGTCCACTCTGACTCGTAGCCACCCGACAGGGCCAGGGAGAACGGAGGCTGTAACTCTTTATGGGGAAGAAGGACGCATCATCTTTGTCCCACAGAGTGGCTGGTGGTTTCAAACTGCTGGCTTTGCAGTTAGCAACCCAATCCATAACCCTGTGTTGCAAAATCTCTGCCTTGTCTTATTATCATGGTTGCTTAATGACAATATTTGTGTGGAAAGAATTCTGATGTTCGTGAGCCTTCTGTACTAGATAGTAAAGATTCAGGAATACAAATCCCGTGAAGCGTGCATGGTTTGACATCAAAGGAATCCTTTAACCTGCTCCAGCTAAGCTGTTTGGGTTCTTGATAGTGTAAGTCCAAGTGCCTGAAGGATTTAACGGTGGGTGGTGTGTGGGGGTGGGAGTGAATGGTATGTTTCGTTTGCCGGTTTGCCGGCAACGCCTAAGTTGGAGGTGCTTCGTATGACTTTTACAACTTTATCGACATGGGTGAATTCCTCTTTCTCACGCTGCCATCGGGTCAATTCTGACTCATAGCGATCCTACAGGACAGGCTAAACCTGCCTCTGGAGTTTCAGAGCCTGTGACTCTTTTCAGGCATACCTAGAAAGCCCTGTCTTTCTCCCGGGGAGTGAGTGGTGGTTTGGAACTGCCCAGCTTGTGATCGCAGGCCCACGTGTAACCACACCACCACCAGGGCTCCCGAAATCCTCTCTGGAGCAATGGAATTGTTGGATTGTATGAGAGGAATTTAAAGAGTTCATGGAAAAATGGAAGTAAAACATAATGGATCCCTCCTCCACCCCACCCCACCCACCACGGACCTTCTGAAGCCCCTTTGTACACGGCAAAACAATCACAGGATACATCGCCACGACCGACCGTGTCTAAAGACTTAACTTAGTGGTGGAAATTCAAGTCCAAAGATGTAGTTCTGAACTACTAGATGCTCTTTGCCTCACTCAGAGCAAGTATAATAATTTATAAACAAGTACTCTCCGGGGTTGAATTGGCTCGGGGAGTTTCAGAGACTGTAACTCTTTACAGGAGTAGAAAGCCCCATCCTTCTCTCTCAGAGAGGTTGGCAGTTTCAAACTGCTGACCATGAAGATCACAGAGCAAGGCATAACCACGGCACCACCAGCCTTGGTGACCTTTAAGGAGGAGTCCCTGTCCTTAGAGTGACTTAGGTTTTCTTGGTTTGTGTCCCCTTCCGAATCATGGGCAGTAGAATAAGCAGACCCTTCCGAAGGACTCTAACAGAAATAGACTATTTAAAATTTTTTGCTCTAGTCTTTTAAGTCCAAAACTAGCGGAATGCTTTTGCATGCATCATTTTATTTCTCATACTAAGTTCAAATTTAAGGCCATTTCTGAAAGGAAAAAAAAGGAAGCTCTTCATTCTGTCTATGCACATTGAATTGTCTCCACTGCATACCCTGAAGGTTCATCCTCTCACACAGAGACATCCAAGGAGCAGTGGGGGCTGTGATTTTATTGAACCAGCTCCTCAGAGACACTATGTTTTCAAACGCCATTGGCACACAAGCCTACTGATCTGCAGACACCTGTCATGTTTCCAAACCCTCAATTCTCACTCCTGACTGGGTTAAGAGAAAGTCATGCGGAGGCGCCTTTGATGTCACACCATAGTATATGCACAGCGAACAGGGCCTAGGAGTCAATCTCCATCTGTTTTCTTATCAGTAAGGTAAGGGAGATGCTCAAGTAGATACATTTATTTCCAGGGATTGTCACAGTGTTCGTGCTACGAAGGAAGATCGGAGAGAGCTTACAAAATCAAAAGACCCATGATAAAACCAAAAGGCTTTATTCCCCATTCAGACTCAGCCCCAGCTCTAACGGATTTGAAAATAAAGAATTAAAATGCTTTCCTTCTTAGAAAGTAAAAATATGGCACCTTATAAAAGGCCCCTCCGTTTTAAATCCTGCTTTACGCAAACCGACATGGCAGCTCGAGGACAGTGTAGACCAGCTGACGGCCCTCTGCATGGCCATTCCAGCAGGGTGCTCGTGTTCCTACCGGGCTGTCTATACAATGTGAAGGACTTTGAACGCAGCCACAGCCTGTTTTTCTCGTTCATGTCTGCTCTGTAGCAGTGCCAGCAGCGGTAGCTCAGGTAAGTTCCCTTCCTTTGCAGTAGAGGCCGGATTTTTTGTTTCCTTTGATGCCTGGTCAGTCAAATTTGATGACCTGGGTTTGGGGATGGTCTTAGCATATTCCAAAGCCTAAAAACATAAAGATACATTTTTATTTTATAATCAGGAGTGAGCCCTGGATTTCTTAAATTAAATCTGGTTTTAGAAAATGTTTCTTTATATAATGTAAGTGGAGCTCCAAACACTTACATAAGACATCCATGGAAAATGCAAATAATGGAATGTAATGCATGATGGTTTACACAAATCAGTCATAAACAATATGCTGTGGGGGGAAACGAGTTGAAAAATAATACATACAATTGTGTCTTTTTCTTCATAAAACAGTTTCCTTCAAACGTTTGCAAACAGAATAGTCTAATGGGTTTTTCTATTTACCTTTTGGCAATCTTATTAAGACCCAACTTCTATTAATGAGACAGCAAGATACTTTTTTCCCCATCCAGAGAGCACTTGTTACGGCTTGTAACCAAAGACACTGCTGTAGTTGATATAAAATTGAGCCTCCATTATATCAATTATTCTTGTCCTTAGGCTCTTAGAACTCTAGAAATTATCAGAGGTTGGAAATTACTTTTTCTTTTCTTCAGTCTATCTATAGAAACCTTAATACTGACTAAAGACAACCGCCCCCCTTTTTTGTAATATCACTTCTGAAAGGCAGTGTAATGGAAATGAGATGACTAAATATGATTTCAAAATCTGCCACGGTATCACTTTTGTTATTGAATAAGTTTCTTGGCAGCTGAAAAGGGACTGGACTGTATATGGAGGTCCTGAAAGGGGGAAGCTCCCGAACCTCTGGATTTCCCAGTAGATGTAGGTGGCTTATGTGGGAATTTCTGATTGTAGATTTGTTGCCTTGAATCTCTTCGTGAAAAAAAAAAAAATTGGATTGGAAGAAAAGAAAAAGTGGCACTATGAAAACTCAATCAGATGGTACAAGGTCGTCAAGGTCAGAGGAAGAAAGCAATCAACAGAAAATATGGACGAGCACATGAAGTACCAATTCCTAAAAGCACCAAAGAATCCCTCGTCCCTCGTGCAGAATCCCCCATCCCCGCTGTACAGGTAAACTGAATGAGGCAGTGGTTGTACGGCAAAGCCTTGTGCCTCCATCCTATATATCCCATTAACATCCTAACTTGTGGTGGGATGCCCTTTGAGAGAGAGAGCCTTCTGTATTTTATGAAAGCACTTTTCTTACATAGAAATACCACTTGCCATCGGGTGCACTCCAACCCCTACTGGCTCCGTGCATGTCGGGGTAGAGCTGTGCTCCCGAGCGCTGGTTTTCAGTGGCTGGTATTTCAGAAATAGATCGCCAGGCCTCTCTTCTGGAAAGTCTCTAGGTGGACTTGAACCTCCAAACTTCTGGTTAGTAGCTGAGTGTGTTACCTACTTGCTACTAAGGGATTCCTTGGAAAAACGTAGAGGAAATGAACTTGAAAGGAACAACTTAGAACTTTTCTTTGCCATCAGAGCCGATCGCAGCAAGAAGACACTGATAATCTCAAAACTTATTTAATGGTAACAATTTAAATTGGTCGTTAATCAGGACTGCTCATTTCTTCTAACAAATCATTTTACTATTTAACTTTTAGGGCTGAGGAACTTAGTATACTATACTTGGAAGAAAGCATGTGGAGGGCTAAAGACAATGAACTTCTGAATGGAAAGGCTAATCTGACAGTATTGTGGTGAGGCACCCCCGTGGCATCAGTGTAACCCTGAGTGGTACACAGCAGCAGGAAGGGTGGTAGCTAAGATATCTCACTTGTTCAAAAAACGTGGGCGAACCTATTACGTTAAGAGCTAACAAAAGTTTCTTTTTGGTTTAGTTTGGATGGAAAAGAGTAATACACCAACACCACTGGGGATCACATTTCATCCAAACAATAGACAGGGCTATGAAGTGAATAATAATACTGTAAGGAGCACACTCTTCTGAAGAAACAAACGGGGCATCATCTGCCCCCAAACAAAGCTCAGAAGGGCAGGCCCCAGTAAGAAGGGCTCATGGAAACAGGATCTCAGGGAGGGGGTGGGGAGGGTTACATAGTTACATTGAGGGGGTTGCGACTAATATCATGAAACCAAAATGTGTACAAATTGTTGCATGGAAAACTATTGTGCTCTGTAAACTTTCACCCAAACCACACTTTAAAAAAGAGAAATGGCTTATGTTCCTGGGTTGCAAATGTCTGATTAATGTTGAACTTGCCCTTTTGTGTTATGTAAATTTGCTTGCACTTTGAACAGACTGAACCGATGCCTTCTTGCAACAAATTCTTCATCATGATCCCCTTCACCTGCTGCACATGCAGCTTTTGAAATAATTGAAGAGGCTCTTAGCCTTTTCTTTTTACTAAAGTAAGTTCAAAGGCCTTATGCACTGATTTGGACTTACCTACAAATTCCACTTACGGACACACTTAGGAACAGCTCTCGTTTGGATAGCTCAGGGCTTACCTTATTGCCTTGATGGGAATCTCTTACCTTCTGCCGTGGGATGGCAGATTTAGTCTCTGTCTTGGCTGTGTGTGGTTTTGACAGAATGGCGAGTGTCTTCATGTTGTATTCCTTAACTTGTCTTGCATATTCCTTTTGCTGCATTAACTTTTGCATCTGGTCAGAGAAGCAAAGGTAGGATGAATCATAAGTCCCACCAGATTTCTTTGAAAAGTGACCGTGAGACTGGTGTATTGTCAGCAGAGCAGGAGAAGGGGGGCTGCCATGCATAAGGGGGGTTGCCATGCAGCGAAATGGTTAAGTGAAAGTTTCTCCTAGAAACAGCCTCTGCAGAGGAGCAGCTCTGAATAGCACACTCCGTGCTCCCTTAATAGTGGCGACATCACATTCAGCCCCTGCTTTGTTGCATTTACCCAATTTATTTTCATTTTTGCCTCCTACTTTGAACTATACTCTCGCTTTATGCCTTGAGTGCAACTGCAGTTAAAACCCATTAAACGCAGATCTCCTTTCAGTGGCGGAAGGAGAATAAAGCGATGCACTTTTCAGGGGCTGGGCAACTCTCACTCGGAGGGTCTTCTCGGCAGCCACTCTTCCAAATGATCAAGATAACTCTACCGAGCAAGACCGACAACCACATAATGGACACATTTCTTTTCTTGTGAGCGTGTCCCACTCTCCTGCTCAGGCCTCAACACTAAGAAGTGGAGACGTCAAATGACATAGGCCACAGCATTATTCTTTTATTTTAGAGAAAAAGAGTGCCTGGGGCCTCTCTTATCAGTGCTGTTTCAGAGGCATCTCTACTTGGAGACTTTTGAATCAGGATTGGCTTAGAGGGCACCACCCTGTAGCCTTACTAACGATGCATGACAAAGGATAGCTCAGCTGGGAAGTGCAGCAGGCGCCTCTCACTCACTTTGTCTCTGACAGACTCAAAGTCAGGTCCAAGGCCTCCGAGTTTCACGTCCCTTTTCTGGTAATTTTTCATCTTGGAACTCTACAAAGCCAACCACAGAGAGGGCGTCACAGAGGTGGTTGTTATGTCCTCCTAACCTGCCAGAGACACACAGGAAACGGAAGGAAGGACAGGAAGAACAGGAAGCCTGGAGGGGCTTTGGTTGGAGCATGAGCGCATTTCCGGAAAATTCTTCTAGTTCGATGACAGTTAACGAGAATCGTCTCTTTTGTGCTTTGTAGCTGGCTTGCTCACTTGTTTCACCTTTTCTACTTCTGCAATAAAAAAAGCCAACTGAACTTCTGAACATTAATAAATAAGCTATTTCTTTTTAAAATAAGCTCTTTCAAGATAGCGACGCCTCGTTTCCTGAACGTCTTGTCACGTGACCGATATTGCTGCTGCGCGGCTGAAGATTGCATGGTTGGCTCAACCCGGCTTCCCCTGAACTTAGCCCAGCGCACGGCGCCAAGAGTGCTGTTTGCCGACGCAGCATAGCCCGGTAGTGACACTGTCCCATGAAAGTGAAGAAAGACCGCAGCAACTTTCAAAATGTTGTTTTGATAGTTGGGGGGAAAATATAATTTAAGAGGAAAAAATACAGTTTATAGTCCATGTGTAATGTTAACATTTAAGGATCCTGGCAACCCCATGGAGAAACATTTCATTTGGGCACACAGAGGTTGATAGAGTCATTAGTATTGTGCATTAGAAAGGACAGAGCCCCAGAGTGAGATCATGTAATCACTGGGCTTTAATGCTTGAGTACCGTAATAGGTGGCAAAACATACCGAAACTCCTCTAATTTGGCCAAAGCCCAAGCCAAACTACTGTCATTGAGTTGACTCCCACTCACAGTGATGGCAGTCAGTAATTTGGGGCACATCTTGGTTGATGCTCATAAGAAAAGCCTTGCTGAAGAGGCAGCTGCCCTTTGCCATTGTAAACGTCTATCTCTGTACCACTGGTGCACAGACACTAGAATTCCTGTTTGCGAAGGTGAGTCAATAATAAAAATGAAGGGTGGGGTGGAGAGGACCTGTTTCCTGCAAATCACAAATCCAACTTGTCCCAAACTGATGTGATTTCACCCCAAAAGTTGTATCCTTATTGTGAAACAGCTTAACTTCTTAACTTTTAATCATGCCACTGGCTCAAAGTGACATGCCGTGAAGCATGAGTCATTGCTCACTGCCTTCCAGTCACGGAAAGCGGGAGCTCAAGAGAGCCCTGACATCCGGGCAGGAAGGGAGCAAGTGTGGCGGACAGGGCCATCTCCAAGTACTGTTGACCTTTCACCGCATGAGCTGCGTAGAGCCAGGAAGCATTTCTCAAGGGATATTTCCTAGCAGAATGGACTGACTGGCAAGGAATCATCATGGGTGGACTTGAATTTGATCAGGTGACCTTGAGTCCTTCTCAGTGCTGCAAATTCGTTTAACAATCTCTTTCTCTTTAAAAAAAAATAATTTTATTGGGGGCTCATACAACTCTTATCACAATCCCCACATACATCTATGGTGTCAGCACTCCTGTACATTTGTTGCCCTCATCATTCTCAAAACATTTGCTTTCCACTTGAGCCCCTGGTATCCGCTCCTCATTTTACCCTTAGGGGAATGAGCCCCTGGTATCCGCTACTCATTTTACCCTTAGGGGAATGCTCCCCCCTCCCCCATGAACCCTTGATAATTTATAAATTATTATTATTTTGTCATATCTTACACCGTCCGATGTTCCCCTTCACCCACTTCTCCGCTGCCTGTCCCCCAGCGAGGAGGTTATATGTAGATCCTTGTAATCTGTTTCCTCGCTTCTCCCTCACCTTCTCTCCACCATCCCGGTATCACCATTTTCACCACTGGTCCTGAGGGGTTCATCTGTCCTGTATTCCCTATGTTTCCAGTTCCTATCTGTGCCAGTGTACATCCTCCAGTCCAGCAAGATTTGTAAGGTAGAATTGGGATCATGATAGTAGGGGTTGGGGAGGAAGCATTTAGGAACTAGAGGAAAGTTGTATGTTTCATCATTGCTACACCAAACCCTGACTGGCCCTTCTCCTCCCTGCAATCCCATTGTAAGAGGATGTCCAGTTGCCTACAGGTGGGCTTTGGGTCCCCATTCCTCACTCCCCCTCATTCATATATGATTTTTTTGTTCTTTGATGCCTAGTACCTGATTCCTTCGACACCTCATGATCACACAGGCTGGTGTGCTTCTTCCATGTGGACTTTGTTGTTTCTCAGTTAGATGGCTGCCTGCTTATCTTCAAGCCTTTAAGACCCCAGATGTTATATCTTTTGATAGCTGGGCACCATTAGCCTTCTTCACCGCATTTGCTTTTGCACCTGCCTTGTCTCCAGTGATCATGTCGGGAAGGTGAAATCTCGTTCTGTTTATCAAGTCTTTTCTTCCTTTTTATGACAGTTGTTTTTGAGACATAATCCACATACCATACAATTGTCCACTTGAAGTGTAGAGTTAAAATATTTTTAGTATATTCATCAAATTGTGTCACAATCATTTCAATTCAATTTTAGAACAGTTTGATCAACCCCCCAAAGAAACCTAGGCCCATTAGCAATCAGTCCCTTCCCCAGCCCGAGGCAGCCACTACTCTACTCTGAGTCTCTTCTAGTCTTTAAAGTAAAATAACCTGCAGAATTTAGCTTGATTTTCCATTCCTCAGTTGTTACATGACCCAAAGGTCACAGATGGCACAATGTCATCAATCAATCAATCAATCAATCAATGATCATTCCCCTAAGTCTCCAAACATGTTCAAAGATGGGCTGAGGCATGCTCTCACCAAACCCCTAGTGGGACATGTTGCTGGCCACAGACACCCACAGGCTGATGCCGGAGGACCAGGCGGTCTGAGGATTGCTAAGGCCCGGTCCTTCCCTGGTCTCTGCACACTGCAGTCCCATGAGTTGTTCACTTGAGCAGAGGATGGCTAGTGGTTGGTTTTTGTCCGTAATTCATCACAATTCATCTCAAGCCAGAGGAGTGATTTTTAAAATGTAAACTAGGGACAAAATGTGCCTGAATTGAAAATGGCGTTGACTGTTTGGAGAGGGTTTATTTCAACTTCTGAGAAGTCATCCATCGTACCCTGCTGTGGGGGACACTGCAGTGCTATTCTCCAGAAAGTTCCTCAGATGTGTAAGTGGGGAAAAGTCACTGAAAACGAGGACAAAAACCCAAATGCCTCCAATACTAGGGAGCAGCAAGGGAAAGAAATTTGCTCTGCGGTTGCTAAACTTAATCCAAATAAAGCTCTTCTTAGAAGCAGCCGAGCAGCAATGCCCTGATGGCCCATGACGACAAATGCGCGAGTTAATTACTTCAGCTCAGCATAATCTGCCGTCAGAAATCTCCCCAAGCAGTAGATATTTTTATACAGCCCGGGTCCCTCACCCTGTGCTAATCTTTACTGTCTGACATCCGGGTTTGATGGTATGGGCAATGTTTGGCGCTCATCATGAAGCAGTCAGAGCACGAGGGCCGGCAGCGGAAGAAGGGTGCTCAGGCCTGTTCTCTTTGCAAATCCTCAATTTTTCTGCGTGATTCACTCTGATTCCCTTGGAAACCACAAGACTTGAGGTGACCAGCAAATGGGCATGACCTGGATAATGATTCGATCCGTCTGGTACCCTGGCTACCCGCTGTCCTATACAAATAGCTCTGTTCTAAATCAGTTTAGCTTCTGGAAAAGCTGAAAACACAGAGCGCTTCTGTGTGTTTGTCAGAAGTGGGCTGAGGGGGAGGGCAGTGGGTTGAGAAAATGGATCCATGTGGATTGTAACATTCCTTACTGAAAGCAGGAAGGGATAGATTTCCCAAGGTCGAAAGAGGATTTGGTAGGCAGTAACTGGAAGTTCTTTCTTTCCATGTCCTCGCTTGGCCTTAGATTTCTGGTGATACACAATATAAGTGGAGCATTTTCCTCTAAATAGGATTTCAAAGAGTTTTTACTACCAGGGAAGATGGGGAAGAAAATGGATACCAATTTGATGGATATTCTTTGCCAGAGACTATACTAAGATTTTATCACATCACGTAATTATCAAATGGGAAAAAATGTGCCCAAACAACCAACCAGTCCAAAAAAGTTTTGATTGTACCCCGAGGAGACAGGGGTTTAGGAAAACTAATAAGCTTGCCCAGAGCACAGATCAATGGCCATTCAGTCAGTTCTGATTCATGGTGACCCGTATGTTTCAGAATAGAGGTTGAAACAGAATTTTCAATGGTTGTAACCTTTTGGGAAAAGGCTGCCAGGCTTTCTTCAGAGGCCCCTCTGGCTGGCTTTGAGCCTCCTGCCTTCTAGTTAGCCGCTGAGCTCTCAAGTGTGTGTGACACCTACGGACTCCGCCTTGGGTACTAGAGCTAAGAACTGATGAATGACGAAACCAGCGCTTCCACTAATACTAGATCAAGAATTCAGTTTGAAAGCTTGCATTCCCAACAGCAATCCATGGTGTGTGAGAACCTTAGTGAATAAAGTTTCCTTCTGGGGTAGCATTTGAGTTACTTGTCAGGCCCTGGCAATTCATGAGCTCTGGTGTGAAAGGGCCATCCTCACCTTTCCCCTCACGCAGATAGCTGCTTGTTTGAATGCAAGCCTATAAGACCCCAGATGCTGTTCCATCTACAGCCAGGAGTCATCTAATTTCTCCACCACCCTTTGCTATAGCACCCACCTGATATCTTCTATGTTTCCATCATCAGGGCAAGTATCAAGCAGGGCCATGTTGTAAGAACTAATTGTTTTTAGATTGGCGCGAATCCAAAATCCATTCCTGAATCGACCACCATAGTTCTTAATAACAATCCAACTGATACACATTGAATTGAATTAAGGAATAACGTACATTAATTCCTGATGGCCGCTTTACTGTTGATGCTGTACTGAACTGAGGCACTCGTTTCCCCAGCTACCAGGACTATTGTCTGCTGGTGGTTCCCAGTTGAGTCCTGCCTGTCCTACCACTAGAACTGACCGCAACCAAATGGAGCTACACTGTCCAAAGCGACATCCTCTCCCAGGGTATAAGCAAAGGCCCAGATCTCTTGCTTCTGAAGGCCATCCTAAATGGCAGGTTAAATTTCTACTAGAAGGAGAATGTCTGTTTGTGTGCAATGGAGATCCTTTCAAAAGGAAATGGTCATCTCTGTTATTAATAACAGAGAGCCCTGGTGGGGTCGTGGCTATGCAGTGGATTTTGATCTGCATGGTTGGCAGTTCAAAACCACCAGCCACTCCTTCAGAGAAAGACTGCAGTTTCTACTCCCGTAAACAGCTATAGGCTCAGAAACTCACAGGGGCAGCTCTACTCTGTCCAATAAGGTCTCTATGAGTTGGCATCGACTCAGTAGCAGTGAGTTTGGTTTTGGTAGTAATAACTTCCAGGAAGAAGGAGAGGAGAATTCTACGGAGGAGTGAGCACTAAAGTACAAAAGCTACTCATGACCTCAGGCCACCCAGTGTAGCAGCAGCTTAGAAATGACCACCCCAAATTCAGTGCTGTAAAAAAGGACTATGAAAATCAAGGTCAATCTGTATTATCAAAATGAGAAAGTTAAAGAGGAAAGTAAAAGGAAATTGAGGAAAGAATTAGGAGGCAAAGGGCATTTATAGAGACCTAAATACAGGCAAGTACATATGTAAATATATTTATATATGATGATGGGGAAATAGATCTATATGCATATACTTATAGGTCTAGTATTAAGGTAGCAGATGGACATTAGGCCTCCCCTAAAGTCCTCCCTCAATGCAAGAACACTTTGTTCGATTAAACTTGAATTCCATGATACTCACCTTCTTGACAGATCGATGCAGACAAAGCGGGTGCATTAGCAAATGTGGTGAAGAAAGCTGATGGTGTTTGGCTATCAAAAGATATAGTGTCTGGGGTGTTAAAGGCTTGAAGGCAAACAAGAGGCATCTGCTGAGAAGCAACAAAGCCCACACAGAAGAAGCACATCAGTCTGTGTGATCATGAGATGTTGATGGGATCAGGTATCAGGCATCAAAAAACAAAAAAATCATATCGTTGTGAATGAGGGGGAGTGCGTAGTGGGGACCCAATGCCCATCTGTAGGCAACTGTACATCCCCTTAGAGAAGGGTCATGAGGAGGAGATGAGCCAGTCCCGTTGTTTTCTCCTCCAGATTGTTCATCCAGCCTGTCCTATCCAGACAGGCCTGCGGAGACAACAACATGCACAAAAACAAGACAGAGCAAAACCAAGCAACAATGTACAACAAAACAGCAACAACATCAAGCCACTGACAAAGAACAAATTAAAATATACCAAGAAAGAAAAGCTTGTGTTTTCCAGTCTAGCCTGTTGGGGCACCATGCCCTGTCTCCAATGTCCACCCTCATCATTCCCTGGGGCTCTTGCTACTCCCCTTCCCTGCTGTTCCCCTGCACTCCCCCAGTGCTTTGCCTCAGTGTGGCGGGGTCAGATCAGGTGCAATTCCCACACTGTGTCACTGGTGTTGTCCCCCGCAGGGCCATGGGTCAGTGAGGGGCATCACGTCTCATAGTGGGGCTGGCCATGTGGTCCTCTCTGTGGACTGGGTGCTCTATTTGGGGTCATCGTCCTCAAGGCCTAGTGGGCCAGGATGTGAAAGCAAATGTTTTGAGGATGATGGCAACAAATGTGCTTGACACAACTGATTTATGTATGGATTGTGATAAGAGTTGTACGAGCCCCCAATAAAATGATTAAAAAAATAAATTTTAAAAATGAGAAAGTTAATTGGTTAAAGGACTTTATCAGCAAAGTAAAGAGATGACCTACAGAATGGAAGAACATTTCAGGGAAGGATGTATCCAGCATATATAAAAAGCACACACAGCTTAATAATAAAAAAGTTACCCAATCGAAAAAATAGGCAAAGGATCTAAATAGATATTTAGCCAAAGAGGATACACAAATGGCCAACAAACATATGAGAAGATTGTTGAATATCATCAGCATTATGCTGAGTGAAATGAATCAATCAAAAGAACAAATGTGTGAATCCACAAATATGCAGTATCTAAAAAAGACAAAGGTACAGAGAGTTGAGTTTATCAGGCGTGGGAGGGATGAGGGAAGAGCACATGGCATTGCGTTTTGGTTGATGGGATGGAACATTTTGCAATGGATATGAGTGATGGTTGTGCAGCATGGTTTATATAATGGGTTTTATGAATAGGACCTGTGGAAAATGTTGAATTAGCAAATGTGTCTTTTTATATTTTTGCAACAGAATGAAAAATTTCAAAACGTTTTTTTGTTTTTTTTGTAAAATGACGCTATTACCTTAATGCCACTTCTTTTCCTGGGTCTTTTTCCTTTTTCCAGTTGAAACAGATAACCTTCAGAATTGCTACGACTGATTTTGATTTGGTTCCGTTGGCTTCTTTCCGAACCGAGTTGGGATACACTTTCTACCCTTGACATAATGGGTGGAAATGCGATGGTGGACACGGCCCCTTCACTGGGCTGCACGTCGGTCAGCTGCACTAAGGCCTGGTGATGTTGATCCATTATCTGAGTGAGCTGAGCATCAGGAGATGCTCTAACAGGTTGGCTGTCAGAGGAAGAATGGAATTTCCTTGATAGAAAGAAAAGCAAAAACTAGTTAGTGAAACATGAATACACCAAGACCTCTAGCATACAAAGACACTCGGAGGCAGGGAAAGGAAGTGGGTGCTAACAAACCCAGGGACAAAAGAACAACAAGGGTTCTAAAATCAATGGCGAGGAGGGCATAGGATACCTGGTGGGGCTTGATTAGGGGCATGTAATCAAGAGGAATTACTGAAACCCGAATGAAGACTGAACATGATAGTGGGAAAAGAGGAAAGTAAAAGGAAACAGGGGAAAGAGCTAGGAGGCAAAGGGCACTTATAGAGGTTTAAATACAAGCATGTTCACATGTAAATATATTTATATATTATGATAGGGAAATACCGTATATAATCGTGTATAAGCTGAGTTTTTTCAGCACATTTTTAATGTAGTTTTTGCGGTAAAAATAGGTGCCTCGGCTGATATTTGTGTTAGCTTATACTCGAGTATATATGGAAGATCTTATGTCTATATGCTAAGAATTAAGGTAGCAGATGGACTTTGGGCCTCTACTCAAGTACTCCCTCAACACAAGAACACTTGATTCTTTTTTTTTTTTACCGCCCCCAAGAACACTTGATTCTAATAAGCCGGCATTCTGTCATGCTCACCTTCCTGACACAATAGCTGAAGACAAAGTGGGTGCATAAGAAAATGTGGGGAAGAAAGCTGATCATTCCCAGCTACCAAAAGATATAGCATCTGGGGTCTTTAAAGGCTTGAAGATAAATAAGGAGCCATCTAGCTGAGAAGCAACAAAGCCCACATGGAAGAAGCACACCAGCCCATGTGATCATAAGGTGTCAGTGGGATCAGGTATCAGGCATTAAAGACCCAGAACAAAAAATCATATCAATGTGAATGAGGGGGAGTGCAGGGTGGAGACCCCAAGTCCATCTGTAGTCAACTGGACATCACCTTTCAGAAGGGTCACAAAGAAGAGACGAGCCAGTCAGGGTGCAGTATAGCACCGATAACACATACAACTCTCTTCTAGTTCTTTAATGCTTCCTCACCCCCACTAACATGACCCCAATTCTACCTCACCCATCCAGCTAGACCAGAGCATGTACATGGGTACTGATAACGCGGAAACAGAGAGAATCCAGGACAAATACACCCCCCAGGACCAATAAATAATAAGAGTAGCCATACCAGGAGGTAAGGGGAAGTTGGGGGGAGGAAGGGGGAACTGATCACAATGATCTACATATAGTCCCGTCCCAGGAGGACAGACAACAAAAACTGGATGAGGGAAGACATCGGACAGTGTAAGCCATAAAAAAATAATAATTTATAAATTATAAAGGGTTCATGAGGGAGGAAGGATGGGGGAGGGAGGGAAAAAATGAGGAGCTGACATCAAGGGGTCAAGTAGAAAAAAATGTTTTGAGAATGATGATGGCAGCAAATGTACAAATGTGCTTGACACTATGGATGTATGTATGGATTGTGATAAGAGCTGTATGAACCCACATAAAATGATTAAAAAACAAAAAAGACACTAGGAACCATTAATCTGATACATTTATTACTCCTCAAATCTAATTAATGACATCAGCTTAACCTCTTCCTGAATGCATTTTCTTCTTGTTTTAAAATCCTCTTTCTAATTCTTTGGCTCATCTGTTCATTTTAATTTAGCACACTCAGACTAGAAGAAATATTTTGAAAACCCTTTGAAAAACCTTTTCATAACAAAATAGCTAGATTAAATTATGGAATATATAGTTGAATTTGAAAGAGAATTGCCAAGAATCCAAAACATAAAAAGGAGGGAACCCCAAAGCAGAAACAGGATTACCTCAAGCTGTGGCTTCCTTTGTGCATCTTGGCAATCTAAGGGCCTGAGGTCACTGGAGGCCAGACCCACTCTCTGTGCCTTCCCTTTCCTGCTGTTGAGACACTCAGAGAGCTGGAGAAGACACGTGGAGACCCATGCCAGCATTGAGTTGCTTCCACTGCCATTGGATCGATCCACAAGACCTTCTACCACTGGCCTGTAGCCTTCCTGCATTCAGCATCATTGCATGTGCTACATGAGTCTAAAGAGGAATTTATAAACTAGTATCGGTCAAATGGGCTAATATCAGACTTACGGACTTGATCTGGACTGGGCTGGGATGTTTTCTTAATATATATAATTACTCTTTGACATAAAGTTCACGTTCCCTGATATGATCGCCGAAGACAAAGTAGATGCATAAAGAAATGTGGTGAAGAAAGCTGATGGTGCCTGGCTATCAAAAGATATAGTATTAGGGGTCTTCAAGGCTTGAAGATAAATAAGTGATCATTTAGTTGAGATGCAACAAAGCCCACATGGAAAAAGCACACCAGCCTGGTGATCATGAGATGTCTATGGGATCAGGTATCAGGCATCAAAGACCCAAAACAAAACAAAACAAACAAACAACATATCATTTCAATGGGAATGAGGAGGAGGGCAGAGCAGAGACCCAAAGCCCCTCAGGAGTCAACTGGACCCCCCGTCAGAAGGGCCACAAGGAAGAGACGAGTCAGTCAGGGTGCAGTGTAGCACCAACGAGACACACAACCTTCCTTAGTTCAGTGGTTCTCAACCTGTGTGTCGTGACCCCTTTGGGGGTCAAACGACCCTTTCACAGGGGTCTCCCAATTCATCACAGTAGCAAAATGACAGTTATGAAGTATCAACCAAAAAAAATTTTATGGTTGGGCGGGTGACCACAACTTGAGGAATTGTATTAAAGGGTCATGGCATTAGGAAGGTTGAGAACCACTGCTCTAGTTCTTTAATGTTTCCCATGCCCCACCTCCACCCCCACTATCATGACCCCAATTCTATCTTACAAATCTGGCTAGACCAGAACATGTATACTGGTACAGATAAGAGTTTGCAACACAGGGCATCCAGACTAGATAAACCCCTCAGGACCAATGAGGGGAGCAGTGATACTAGGAGGGTAAGGGATGGGCAGGGGGAGTAAGGCAGAACCAATCACAACAATCAACATATGGCCCCCCTCCAAGGGAGATGGACAGCAGAAAAGTGGGTGAAAGGACAAAGCAGTTGGTGTAAGACATGGAAAAATAAAAGGATAATTTATAAATTATCAAAGGGACACGGGTGAGGGAGGATGAGGGAGTGAGGGAAAATGAGGAGCTGATACAAGGGTTAGAAAGAAAATGTTTTCAAAAAGATGATGACAGCATATGTACAGATGTGTTTTATACAATGGATATATGTATAGATTGTGATAAATGCTGTAAGAGCCCCCAGTTTAAAAAAAGTAAAAAAAAGGGTTTTACACTAAAAGAAACATTATTTGATGGTTACAAGGGAAGGGAGGTGGGGAATAAAGGGAACTCATGGGCTTGAGGATAGACAAGTATTAACTTGGGCACAGGGGAAGGGACTATTCAATAAGAGGGAGATTAGGGGGAAATGATGGTGGCAAAGAATGATACAGGGAGAGTTGTAAGAGTTAATAGCAACAGAAGTAAATACTGTTAAACACACAGTACTGAAAGAGTGGTGATCTATGGTTAAATGCTTACATAGATAAGCAGGTTGGACACATTTGGGAGAAAGAGTAGGAGTATCCTCATGAATATACTAAGTCTGACACTTGATATGTGTGTTTGCTTCAAATACATCTATGGATACGGTGGAACATTCAGGGGGCAAAATTATGAAAACATCTTAGACATAGCAAAACACCTTGGGGTAAGGAGTTGCCAGGTCTAGAGGATCAGGGCAATACTCTCAGGGGATGCCAAAGTCCACGGGCACAACACAGTTCACAGTCTTCTCTACCCTACTTTTATGAGTCGCAATTGGGGTCTTCCAGGCTCATGAACAGCCATGTGCAATACGGGTGTGCTCCAAGTCTGGAGGAAAGAAGCGTGATGAAAACGGAAAAACAAAGAAACAGTCCAGTGAGCTAGGGACTACACACACATCAGTCTTCACAGTCCTGAGACGAGAAGAACTAGATGGTGCCCAGCTACTTCCCCCAGTGGCTCTGAAAAATCACATTAGCAGGTCTTAGGTAGAGGGGAGCAAATGCAGAACAGAACTCAAAAGCACAAGAGACCAGGCTTACTTGCTGGAGAGAGACTGGAGGGGCCCCTTAGACTATGGCACTTAGTCACCCTTCAAGTTTACAACCGAACTCTCTCCTATGTTAGAATAATCAGCTATTTAAGATCAAAAGGTCAGTATTCACCCACGGACAAAGTTCAGAGGGTTAGGAAATACAGAGGAATGGAAACAGGAAATACAGGGAGGAAGAGGGATAAGCAATGATACATTTGAGAGATTGCAAGGAATGAGTTGAACAGAATATGCATGAATTGCTGAACATAAGACGGATGATCTGCTCTGTAAACCTTCAACCTATTCACATTAAAAAGTTACTAAGAAAAAAAAAGAAAAAAAAGTTACTAATAAACTATGGTTTAAATGATCATACAGACATACAGAAAAGAACCAAAACTGAAAATTATATTGAAGATATATGTCTTAGCGGATGGTGTAAGATATGAAAATAATAATAATTTATAATTTATCAAGGGGTCACGAAGGCGGGAGGGTGGGGGAAGGAGGGATAAAAGAGGAGCTGCTACCAAGGGCTCAAGCAGAAAGAAAATGCTTTGAAAATGATGATGTCACCATATGTACATGTGTGCTAGATACAATTGATGTATGGATTGTTAGAAGAGCTATAAGAGCCCACAAAAATGATTTAATAAAAAAAAAAGTTATATATCTTACTGAGAAGTTTTAATCAGAGCCAAAAAAAAAGTGTAGACATGAGCAAATGTCTAGACATTTTCTTTTCATAGATGTATTTCCTTGTGCCATAATTTTAATGTTGATATGATACTAAATATCATGATTTAGCTATTTTCCTACCATTGGGTTTTTAGATCATTTATATAAGTGACACTATTTTGGGGTATACATATTTGTGCTTTAGCTGATTTTTTTAGGCTACATTTTTGCAGTATTAGAGATAATTTATTGGAGATCATTTATTTATGCTAGTTATTACTTGCAGTCTTCAAAGTATACTGATCTGTTTTGATTGGTTCTCTCTGATCTTTTCTCCTTAGTTCAACTTCTAGCTATAGTGGGAAAATTAGAAGTGACAAGGAGGGCGAAGAAATAAATCAAAAGGGGACTGTTTCGGCTGGATTCAGAGCCAATGCAGGTGGTAAAGTGAAGTTTCCCTTTCTTCTCAGCACCCCCTTCTCACCCCTCTTCTCCTGTCTCTGACCAACAGCTTATTCTTTCTCCTCTAGGAAACTACTTGAGCTAGTAGCCCATCGAGAAAAGAGAATTCTTACCATAGCATTTCTAAGTTCTTATATTTTGTCTCTGTATAACTCCCTTTGGGCTGTTTCTTATTCACAGTTGCTCCATTAACATTGATGCTCTCCACAGGCTGAGAGCCTTTCTGGCGCACAGGCACCTGTGTTTGAGAAAGTTCATGAATGTAATTCAAGTCCATATTGGACAAAGTGTTGAGATATAGCTGCTGATAGGAAAATCCTTTTTCCTCTGGGTCTTTGTGTCCCCTTTCTTGATTAATATTCATGTCTGAGTGATAGCCAGGAGAGTTTTTATGTGGTTCTTTGTCAAAAGCCTGTTTTGGTGGAGCAAGTCTATTGGAGGTTACTTGGGGATGCTGGCGCCTAAGTGCACTTGAGTCTCGTAAGTCAGTGTTAGGGGCATTCATAAGCACAATCGATCCATGCTTGATTGATGTGTCAAGAGGCTTATTTTGGTTTGGCTGCTGTCTGAGCATATTATCCTGGTTTCCTTGACTGGCAACTCGCTCTCTAGTCACGAAAGCTTTCAGGCCAGGCTGGCGTTTGTGTGGTTTTCGAATCTTGGGCTTCGCTGGCCTTCTGGAAGGTTGCTGTCCATCAGGTGCTTCAGAAGACTGACGTCTAGGCCCATTGCTGGACTTTGGGTTTTCCTGTTGAGACCAATGCTCCTGGTAATTCTGTGGGGGAGGGGGAAAGAAAGGCTTTTGGTTAATGTAAAAGTAGAAGGATTTCCCACAAACTTGAAAGGAACAGCTCGCAAACTAAGGGGTTGAGACTTCTGGGATGGTGACCAAAGAAGTGAAAGGAATGAAGAGTACAGGGTGTCCTTTCCTGATTTCAGGCACCGGGGAGCAATTAGCTCCCGGCAATGTTAGATTATGAGCCTGGGCAGAACGAGAGAAGCTCGAGTGGACTTTATATTAAGGACAAGAAGCTGATTCGACAAGTTGTGCGTGAAATGTTCTGTTGTTTGGGGTGATGGTGATGGCAGGTTACTGAGCTACATACAAAGAAAGTGCAAAGCCTCTCTAAAATATGCAAGTGTATTCTAACTCTGATGAGTATTTTGAAGAATCTCAAACTAGAAAGAACATGAATCATTTGCTTTTCCAGCCAAGGACACACTAAGTAAGAAGCAGAATTCAGATGACCAGACCTTCTTGCTCCTTCCAGTGAGAAACAGGAAATGACGTCTTCCCCAGATGAAGCAAATTGGATTTTGTTTGGAGAACCAGAAACGAGTCTGTGTTGTGATGGGACATCTGTGAAGTCACAAGGGTTGTTTGTTTCTGTTCCTTAATATAGCCTGTACTTAGTCAGTCAAACATCTGGGGGAAAGGCTCCAATTTCAGAACAGTCTTTATGCTTTTCAAAGACTGGTAACAACACAATGTACTCCTGGTATAATAGATACACTGTGTAGCTATATTGTGCTACATAACCATTTAGAAATATTTCCCAGGGAATAAAGCACTCATTACGTTGTGAAAAAAACCAACAACAGCTGAGTTAAGAGGCCTTTGGAAAGAATGATTAAATGCTTATTGAAAACAGCATGATGGCTGTATACATCAGCAGGTCATAGAACTGCAATGCGTTTCTTCCTTACAAAAACATAAAAAATCTCCACGGCTCGCATCTGTGTGACATTAATAGAAAAAGGCAAACAATCTGGATCATTCTGGAAAAATACCTTGAAACAAATAAATCATGTTTTTGCTCAAATGGTTTGTTTTAGCTTGCTATGAAGAGTGATTCGATTATTTCAATGAGTTCAATTTTTATCTAGATTCTCTGAAATAACAGCTAATTCTCATCCTATACCTGTCTCATATCGAATGGTAGTCTATTTTAAATAAATCTTATTAAATGCTAAGGCAGAGAATGTTAAATTTAGATCAGGAATAGTATTCAGTATTACTTCTTACATCAGATTTTAAAGTAAGAATGACTCATAATTTGAAATTTAGAGTATGTTCTCCTTAAGAGTTTTCCTGGGGATTGGCCAAGTTCTGATGAACTCTTATAAATTTAATTTTTTTACCTGTGGTACTCCAAAATATGGAGGAACTTCCTTTTCTATATTCGTTAAGAAAAAGTTCTGCCTTCCAAACAGTCTATTGAGTTGCATGGAGGGGGTGGGGGTAGGTAGCAAGAAGGTTCTGCAAATATATAGCTCCGAGAGCATCCCTCTTTGCAGTATATTCAGAAGAGCTGCTAACTGCAAGGTCAGCAGTTTGAAACCACCAGCGGCTCCACGAGAGCACGATGAGATTTTCTACACCAGTGAAGAGTTACAGCCTTGGAAACTGCCCCACAAGGGCAGTTCTATCCTGTCTTCTAGGGCTATTAGGGGTAGGAACCAATTTGATGGCTGTGAGTTTGATTTTAGTGATGGAGATGATCAGAAGCCCTGGTGGTGCAGTGTATTAAGTTTTGTGGTGTTAACCGAAAGGTCCAAGGTTCAAAACTACCAACCATTTGGAGCAAAGATAAGGCTGTCTGCTCCCATAAGGATTTAAAGGGGTCCTCAAACTACGGCCCATGGGCCACACGTGGCCCACCGAGGACATGTATCTGGCCCACTGGGTGTTTTTCCCCCTTTGTTTATTTATTTCAAAATAAGATATGTGCAGTGTGCATAGGAATTTGTTCAGTTTTTTTTTAACTACAGTCCGGCCCTCCAACGGGTCTGAGGGACAGTGAACTGGCCCCCTGTTTAAAAGTTTGAGAACCCCTGACAGGCGTTCTACTCTGTCCTATTGAGTTGCTACACGTCGAACCGACTCAAGAACAGGGGCACAGGTGCTAATGAACCACAGCAGCTGTTTTTGTTCTCCGTCATTGTTTGGGCTGGGGAACAAAGCCCTCCTGGCTATTATCTATCCATACTAACCAACGCTGATGGTGCTATTCTGGGCATTTTTGGTCAGCCTGCGATTGCATGGGAGCCCCTGCTGGTGCAAGTAACGAACAGCTGAATTACTGAGCTGAGGGTTGGTCTTGACACGCACCCAGAGGAACCTTGAAAGGCCTGGTGATCTGCTTCCAAAAGATCACAAATCTCAATCCCTAATTGTGACACGAGGTGTTGCCTTGAGTCGGGGCCAACTCAACAGCTACTGTTTCTTTCTTTTTAAAATTAGCTCAGCCTTTTACTGAACTTGAGAAACAGTGGCCAGGAACTCTTTTTCCGCTATCACCTGACTGTACTTTTCTTTTTTTTCAGGCTTTTTGTTAAGTTTGTTTAATACATCTGAGACGAATGCCTAAAACAACCAGTTGAGACATGAGAAAGCAACGGTTCAACAGTAATGGGATTTGGAGATGGTCACTTAACAAGATGACAAAGATGACCTACGCATTTTAAGAAACTGGAAACCACCCAAATAAGCTGATAAAATCCTTTTGAACACTTCCAGTGTTCGAGTCTACATAAGACCCGTTCCATGATATTCAGTAAACTAGAGAGGCTCGGCTGGCTGCTGTAGGGTTCCTCACATGTAAGAAAGAAGTAAGGGGATTCCCCTGACTAGTCCCATGCTACATGTTCTCCCCATCCCACCTCAATCCCAGCTTCTTCATGAAGCAGGCTTCCATCCCCATCACTTGAGAGAGGATATGAATCATTCCATAGACAGCTGTCTGCTAGCCCCACCCCTCATACGTCCTCTGTATGCCAGGTCTTTGCCTGCGTTCTAGGAACACCACATCCTATTAAGCTGCACATCTAAACTAAGCATATTAGACAATGGATGACAGGGGAAAATGTTTTTGAATTATGAACTCAACTCATTTGGTATATTTTAAAAGATGCAATATGTTTCTTCATTTATCAGAAAAAGAAGTTAGAAATTAACTTCCCAAAATCAGCAAATGGCAAACAAATTTCCTTGAAAGTCACAGTCATGTATCTATTACTGCATCCTAGAAAAGGGGCGGGGCAAGGCAGGCTCCACCCACGATCACGAGTTTCATCAAATCCTGGACCTGCTCTAGGGTGGAGAGAAAGGCAACTTTCAAAAAGGAGTATGTCATAATAGGAGACATTTACCATACTCCTTCCTAAGAGCACCAGGTGGGGAACATGTTTTCTGAACTTGATCTAGAAGTGGAACATGACTGCAATCCCATCCTCTTCCCCTCGAGGGCTGTCCACAGGTTAGCAAATTCAAAACTGAAACTAAGTAAAATAAGCTCCACAGACACTCCC